GCTTTTGGAGGCTTCAAAATTGCACAAAACTATGGTATTTACAGGGTTTTGTGCACCTTCCCGGCAGAAAACGCCGGTATTTACACGGTTTTCTGCGCTTTTCCAGCGCTCAACCGTGGTGCGCCTTTGGATCGACGGCTACAAATACCGTAAATACGAGTGTTTTCAGCTCCTCCTGTCTTCAAGCGTGGCCTTAGACCTTGCCGCGGCTGTGGATCGACGGCAACGAAACCTCGTAAATACCAGTGTTTTTTGAGCACGTCCTGTTTGCAAGCATGGCCTGCGGCCACGCAATTTACAGGGTCGCCGCACGTCACTATGTAAATCCGAAGTTGCATTTGAGAAATATGTGACTCCTTTTGAAGGCACGTCAACCTGTATTGAAACCGCTAGACCGCTACAGCTTCTGGAGGTTTTGTCAAGCGTTTGTGCATTAGTTTTTCTTTCATCACGCTCACTCACTTCTCTTCAAACAAGTGGGGGGGCCTCTCACCTCCTCCCGGATTACGCCTGATTCCCTGCTACCTTTCGTTCACCCCCCTCCTCTCTCAAGTATTACAATCAGAAGTTGGGATTGTGCATTGAGTTTGGTCCTGTAAGAGTTGATTCTGTTCGTCGGGGGGGGGGGCCCTCCCTGGATCAAATCCCCCCTGCGCCGGGTCACGCCGTCATGGACTTCTACCAGGGGCACTTGTGATTGCCTGCTACCTTTCGTTCACCCCCTCCTTTCTCAAGTGCAACATGTGACTGAGGATTTGGATAAAGATGAGAAAATCTCCCTGGAGGAGTTTGATGCTTGGATGATGTGGCATGTCTCTCATGTCGGCTGCTTTGATGTACAAATCCCTCCCCGATGGTAGAACGGTAGAACCTCTACCTCACTCGTGCGCGGTGCCACGATCCCACCCAGTTCTATGGCTGTGCCATCAGCGTTCCCACTGAATTGGCAAAGGTCAAGTATATACAGACCCTATGGATCCACATACCTTCTGAGAAGGTGATTGGAGACTATATATGTAGACTTGGACTTCAACAAGACTTTCCAGCATTTGGTCATCTCTGAATGCTGTGGCCCCGGTGATGGCGCGTGTAATGCCCCAAGCGGGCATTCCGGGGATTGAAATAGAATCAACCGTCCACAGTGTGATGCCTTGCCAGGAGAGACGCCAGGGGGAGCTCACACACCGGCCCGGTAGAAGGCGGTCATAAGTGGCAGAGGGACTCGGACAAGCACCCTGAGAAGTATAATTATGTATAAGTACTCTCCCGTGCAGTAGCATGCCCTAAGGGCCTAGGGCTCCAGCCACCTCCTGAGAAGATGGTTGGGGTCCTGAGGATATGGGTCAGGAGCCCTAGGGATGGAAGTGGAGAGTTCACCCCTTGCTTGTAGTCTTCCAGGGGCCCAGGTGAATAAAAACCATACCACCCACTTCCATTCTCAGTCGGTCAGAGTGTACCAATTGCCATCAATCACAATTGCCGTCCATCACCTGAAAGCACCAAGGATACCAAAATTCAACCATGTCCCACTTTCAGGGATCCACCTGCCACCCTCTCAGAAGGGTCAACAGGCAGTGCCTACATGGTCAGAGTCTCCCTGCTCACCTTTGATAAATCGGGTGGCAGTGGATCTGAATGGATCCATCGGACATCGCAGCGGTTCTTCACGGTCAAGCCGTGCGAAGCCCGCTGCGTTGTCAGGGCATGGCACCACAGTGGGGAGGTCTTTGAAAGGACACGTCTCAGAACTTTCCGGAGGTCACAGGATTTCCACTTCAAGGCAGGAGAATCGACCCAGCCACGGTGTTCACAACCCCAAACGAGGGGTTTCCCTATGGTTTCAGGAACATCGCTTGACCAACTCCATCTTCCACAGATGTTCGAAGATGTTTCACACTGCGTCCAGTATACGTCTTCTTTCCTTTTCCTTTCTGCTTCCCAACACCAATTCCCCACAAAGAGTCCACGTCCCAACACTTCGTCCTAAACCTCCGGTACTTCTTCCCTCACCGGTGCGACACCCACGGACCGTTCTCGCGCTCTCGGGCTCCGCCGTGCGGAGCACGACGCGACGCCCCAAGGAACGCTTCGTGGGCCACATGGGCGGCCTTCAGCAACTCTTTCAGCATCGGCGCCAGCGGGCCTCTCGGACGGAGACGTGGCTCCCAGCGGAGGTAGATGGATCTCCGACCTGGAGACGGAGTGGGAGTGGAGGGGCCTTTGGTTCAGGTGGAGATGATGTCTAAGACTGTGAGACTGTGAGATAGTTCAAAGTAATGGTTGTATGATGTTGTATGTGCACTTCGAGGGAGGGAGGGCCCTCATGCATGTACCGTTGAACGTAGGTGGCATGTTCCGCGTCCATTTGTGTTCACCATCATACCAATCGCCAGCCGAGGTAGAAGTCCCAGCTTCCACCCATCAAAAACGATAGGACATCGCTGGACATTGCTGGACATGGTGGGGTGCAACAAAACCGGTTAAGCCCATGTCCACTTGTGCATCAAAAAATGGGGCGCCCCAGTGGTTTCAAAAGAGTAGATGGTACTAGCACCCCAAGATGTCTTTGAGACGGGATCCATACCGAAACGCTCCATGTATGCCATATTTGCCTACATTGGGGTGGTTAGGCGGGTCAATGCAGGCATATAATGGGTGTCGCCGGATATGTCGTATAGGATCATCAGCTGTCAGAGCACGAGCAGATATGTCACATTTTACGAGGGCGGGAGGCCCCCAAGTAATGGGTTTTGGTGGGTGTTCCTTCTTCCACGGGGGTCTTTGAGAGGTTTTCCTATTTCAATACACACACGTCACGCATTTCTCATTGGAAATCCTTGCTGTGTTGGGTCTTGCCGACTGCTGAGGTGGCCCGGAAGCAATGGGGAGTGGATGCTCCTTCCATCATCGAGGTGGGTTGGGCTGGTGGAGTTTGGGAAGATTGGGAGGCCTATAGGCCTATAAATGTTGACCTGCTTTCTTAGACTTTCCAGCGGCACACTGTTTTGGATAGAAGATGATAGAATATATAGAAGGCAATGAAGACCAAGGCGGTTGGAATCTTATATATAGGCTAGTGTTGCAATCAATCGCAGGTTCAATTAGATTTCACTCGTGGTGCATCAGTAGTTGCCCTCTTCTTGGCCTGGCTCGACATGACGCGCGGTGGGTGTTGGGAAAACGGATTCCACAAGAATGAGAACTTGCATCAGCCTTCCAAAAGAATTGGTCAAGCCTACAGTCGCCGGTTTCCTTGACATCCTTCAGTCCATGTGGAGCATTTGAACACATGGAGCCAACTCGACCACTGCTGTTTGGGAGGCTTCCAGCCAGTACAAGAAGAGTACCGCATTCACAGCGTGAAACATTTGGCAACAAGATGCGTTACAAATCTTCCAATCTGGGCTCAGAGAGCCATGCTTTCCATCCTCCTAGCCCATCAACCCAATCCCCTATATCATCGGACCATAAATCCCAGCTTTTCTACACCGAAGCCATCAGCACGTTCAGGTTGGCGCCCGCGTGCAGGCCTATCATTACACGGAGGACCCGCTTTTTTCTCTTCGGCTGGGATGTTCGACGGTCCGCGATTGACACAACTATTGAATTAATGTAGACTCTTGATTGAGGATACAGCCCTCACATTTGGATTGTAAAACCTCTTCAGATGGGGCACGCGTTCTTCATCCCGAGTCTACGCTATCCAAGTGTGGTTTGAAGAAACCTTGTAAAGAAAAATAACAATATGGTCCTAATCTCTGGGTTGCATACTTGAAAAGCCATTGACAATCGCCATTTGCCAAATAACAAAGTAAGTGCTTCCCGGCCCCAGAAAGATGCTGTAAGGGGGAACAGCCTGGAGGGCGACCCCGTCGACTTCAGTCATGATGCCAAGCATGCATAAAGCTATTGTTCGATTGTATCGAAGTGTGAAGCGTGACATCGTGAGACCATCAGCCTTTTGTGCTGGTTTCTTCAAATCCATGTCTTTTTCAGACACGACCTGTCCGGGACTGCCGGACTGCCGCCCCTGAAAGACCCCCTGAAATCAACCACCCCTGGCCGTTTCTCGGCAGTCCGGCAGTCGACAGGTCGTGTCTGGATCATTCCATCGGTCTCCTTCATCGTCCCGTCGTGCTTATCCAGACACAACCAACCATCAATTGGGGTGGTTGATTCAGGGGTCTGGGGCGGCAGATGTTCCAGGTCTGACGGAGTGTTTGGATGATTTTGGGTTATGGTTCTTGGGCATGCACATCTTTGATGACATTCTTTGACTAGTCAAGGCTTGCATTTGCGATAAATACGACAAACAACACCTAGAATGACAAAAAACACCCCCACCTTCGAAGTGATCGTTTTGGAGATCGGAGGCCTTCGCTCACAAACAGGCCTGCAAGGCTGGTCATTTAGAGACTCCAAACCAGGAACCCTCCGTTCGGGTTGTCGAAATATCAAGCCCTTTAGATGGTTTTTTTTGGGGGGGGGGGAGGATGTCCAACATCCACCGGACTTGGAAGGTCCTCCAAAGAGGGTCGAAGGTCCTGGCCACGGATCGGCGCGCCTTCTTCAGAACAACGAGAAGTCCAAGAGCCTTCGGGAGGCGCAAGTCTTGGAGCTCAACGTGATGCCCAGTAATGGCGCACCTCGGCGAGAAGACCAGTTGTTGCACTTTGGGAAAGAAGATGGAAACCAAGTAGAGATATGATGTATGACATGCATGTATATGCATATATAGTCTAGTTATGTTAATTATAACTACAGTAAATTATACATCATTACACTTTATCATTTCATATTACGTATACAATAGCTCATATATGTTTGCATGTTCATACTGTGTATATATATATATATATGTTCAATAGTTCATATGTATCAACGGACCTGCAGCTTTTGCAACTTTGCAACAGCACCTGGGAAGCAAGATCTACCACCAAGATGGATTGCCGGTGATGGTGATGCGAATCAGAGACATCATTGTCCCGTCTCGAAGACTCTGAGTCAGCACCTGTGCTGAGGCACCCAACCCACAACAACCAACATTCAACCATTCCAAGATTGAATTTGCCTTGGGCTGAGGCTTTTTTTCGGTCGTTTTCTCATAGTTGTCCACTGCAATTTCAGACACAACTGCTCAGCAAGTTGAGACGGAAAGAACGGAGCGTGGACGCGTGGATGTGCAGCTGTGCCACAAAGCAGTCCATGGGTGTTCGGCACTCCATGTCAAGTCTTTTCAGCGCTCCATGTCAGGTGTTTCAGCTGGCCAGCTGCTTTTCTCCTGTTGAAAGTTGGCAACATCAACGCCCGAGCAACCGCCTTTATCTGTACACATCGCCGATGTCTGACATGTTCGATGTGTCTTGAGGAGATCCGGCAGGGGTCGATGGAAGCCTGTTGCTTTTTTCGGACCCTGGGCGAGTGATGTTGTACATGTCACCGAGCTCTTCAACAAGAGAAAGGCATCCAATGTTGGGATTTGGCTCGACCTAGCACTATTGTTTGTAGGACCTAGGAGCCTAGGATGGTACCTCTAGTTACTAGTTGCGGGAGCAGCTCGCTTTCCCACGACTGTCGTTCTGCCTGGTGTGACCTCACTCTGCGCGTGCGAAGCGGCACCTAAGGTGAGGTCTCTTGAATCAACTTGGACGGTCCGTGTGGGGGTGGACACTTGGGGTGCCCGTTGTGGATGACCCTGTTGAGGGCCTATGGGGTTCATCTTCGCCTCGGTGCGGGGGTTGGGTGCAGACATGCTGAGCTAATTGTTGATAAACTAATTGTTGAGTTGAGTTCAACCTTTACTTGGGAAGGCGGAACTCACTGCCTAATGTTTTTGGAGGGAGTTGAAGCCAGAAAATGTGTGTGTGTGTGGGTCAATTGGTGGAGCATGGTGGAGCAACTGGGGAACATATGGGTACGTAGACTGGGTACCACATGGCAGGGGAGGTTTGATTAATTGTCACATGTTGTCACATTGTGATGTTCTGGTGGCCAAGAAGGCTGAGCTACTGTTGACAAAAGACCGATGAGACACCAGCTAGTTGCATGGTATGCATGGTTTCTTCATGCTCCTTGAGCCTGAGCTTCCCTGGTGTTGGAAGCCTAGGCTCGTTATTTTTTCATGATCCACAGAATTGGATCGGATATGAGAAGCTCGTATTGCATTTGTAGATGAAAAGAACACATTGAATGAGATCCATCCACCTACCCCTATGGATCCAAATACCTTCTCAGGTACGGTGATTGGAGACTATTTATGTAGGCTTGGGGCGTGGGGGACCCAATGACCGTACCTGAGAAGGTGGCAGTGGATCCATCCACCTACCAAATGAGCCCGGGCCCTTCCATTTTTGGAGAACCATCCGAACCTTCCTCATCTACCGTCCATTTCGCCTCACTAAGCCCGACTGAGGCTGGTCTTCGGCTTCGGCGAGGGGCGCGACGCGCGGCAGGAGCGGCAGGCGAGGGGCGCGACGCGCGACGCGCGGACGTGGAGAGTCGGTGTGTGGTGTGACCAGTGAGTGGAGCCTCTGGAACTCGTGAACGTGAACGCCCCATGTGCCACGTGCCAGGGGGGG